AATTAATTAAAAAAAGATAATCATCAGTCAGACTACAAGGCAAGGTCAGTTCAGACACCTTCTTCTCTATTGCTTAGGGTCTTAGCTGGGGTCATCCTTGTGGATTCATGAGAATTTTTCTTAACTCAGGTTTCTTGCTGACCCCATAATGACTCCCTCAATCAAGATATCTCTTTTCTTGTTTTCATATCTGTCCTTCGTCCATCTTGACTATCCCATTCACTAAAGTTCTCCTCAACCCTCCCCTTTTTCCCTCCTCTTTCCCTTCTACCCTTCCTTCTCCCCCTCTCCCATGCTCCCAATTTTGTCAGGTGATCTTATCTGTTTCCAGTTTCCAGGTGGGTCTACATATGTTTTTCTCTGGGTTCACCTTATTACTTAGCTTCTCTAGAATCACGGACTACAAGCTCAATATTCTTTGTTTATAGTTATTATCCACGTATGAATGAGTAAATTCCATATTTACACTTTTGGGTTTGGGTTACATTACTAAGGATAGTGTTTTCTAATTCTATCCATTTGCATGCAAACTTCAAGATGTCATTGTTTCTTTACTGCTGAGTAGTACTCTAATGTGTAAATGTGTCACATTTTCTTTATCCATTCTTCACTTGAGGGGCATCTAGATAAGTGTTGGGATAAAATCACAGGTTCCCATTACAGACTGTATTGTGAGAATTCTGCCCTTAGTAGAAAGATGTTTTTTTTTATTCTTATACTAGAAAGAAAGCAACTAATTATTTATAAGAGCTGCAGAAGCATACAGAGAAAAATCTAGTTATTAAATTATGGATGTATGGTTTAATTTTATAAAAATCTTAACATTTATTTGTATGAAAAATCAATAAGCCAGATTCTTCCTTTTTATTTTAATTTTTATTACTTTATAAATACTATCAATCAATATTTCCACTTCCTCCCCTTCTCCCACTCCCCCACATACCCTCCTCACCTCCCTCTCCAGTCCTGAGAGAGGGCAAGGTCCCCTGCCCTGTGGGAAGTCCAAGCCCCCCACCCCCATCCAGGCTTAGGATGGTATGCATTCAAATAGAATAGGATCCCAACATGCAGTAGAGGCACATCCCAGTGCCATTA